TGAGTGAGTGAGTGAGTGAGTGTGTGTGAGTGTGTTTGTGTGTGTGTGTGTGTGTGTGAGAGTGTGTGTGTGTGTGCGAGCGAGTGTGTGAGTGTGCGAGTGTGTATATGTGTGCGAGTGCGAGTGTGTGTGCAAGTGTGTGTTTGAGTGAGTGAGTGAGTGAGTGTGTGTGTGCGAGCGAGTGTGTGAGTGTGCGAGTGTGTGTATGTGTGCGAGAGTGTGTGTGCAAGTGTGTGTGTGTGTGAGTGAGTGAGTGAGTGTGTGTGCGCGAGTGTGTGTGTGTGTGTGTGTGTGTGCGTGCACGAGTTTGTGTGTGTGAGTGTGCGTATGTGTGTGTGCGAGTGTGTGTGTGTGAGTGAGTGAGTGTGCATGTGTGTGTGTGTATACCTAATTAACCCTATTTTGGGGACAAATTTGTAACCAAAAGTGAGCTAAACCTGACAAAATCTCCAAAAACCTCCTTTTGAGGACGTCCTCATTTGTAAAACTGGTAAAAAAATAAATAAAGTAAACAACATTTTTATTCAATTGTAAAAATGCAGAAAGTCTCCTGTGAGGGGTAGGTTTAGGGGTAGGGTTGGTGTAGGCCAATAGAATATACGGTCTGTACAGTATAAAAACCATTACGCCTATGGGATGTCCCCATTTAGATAGCCAAGTAAACGTGAGTGTGTGAGTGAGTGAGTGAGAGTGTGTGTGTGTGTGTGTGTGTGTGTATATGTGTGTGTGTGTGAGAGTGAGAGTGAGAGCGAGTGTGTGTGCTTACGTTGGGATGGGCTCCATGCAGGAGGGACACGGTAGAGCTGTTCTCACAAACGCAGGAGTTGTGGGTTGCTCCCATGGACCAGCCAGCATGGCCTGCAGTCACAAACTAGAGCTTCAGTGATATTTGACAGACAGCTATGAGATTCCACAATAAAAACTGAAACGCAATTAGAATTTCAGTTGAACATATAAAGAACAAATCAAACTAGCATCTTTTTTCCCACCAATGCCTGCTTTTATTCAGTCCAATCAGAAGGTACTGAGTAGCAAATGAGTAACTACTGCTTGGTTTATGAATATTAATTAGATAATGTAGTAGAGAGTATGATATTCAAAACGAGTATGACGCACAGTGAGTTGAATTAAAAGGGTCTTGAAGTAAAATCATATCAATCAACACAGTGTCCTAAGCAGACACGACACCTCGGCTGGAACAATAGCATACAAACTATGACTATGATAATCTCAGGTACTGATCATGGGCAGGGCATTTGCGACTGAAAAGTACTGCGTGCAACTATCAACAAATATTTATGAGCACCAGTGCGACTGACCCGATCAGCATATTTGTGTTTTCACTCAGGGGAGCTTTAAAGGATTCTATACTTTCGTGTTTTTGCAGCATTGAGTAATGTATCGCAGACATAAGTTGATTCCTTGAATGCAATGTTAATCAGAATCCACTCACTGCTCAAAATACTCCAGTTTTGTTCATTGCTGAGTTATGCAAGCTCACAAATCTTCTCGTTATAACAAAGTGTAGACAGGTTGTAAATTAGGGGTGAGAATCGCAGGGTACCTCACGACACGATATGAATCACGATACATTGCTCACGATAACGATAATATCATGATACAGCGATTCTGCGATAATCGATATATGCAATAATGATTTATCACGATATCTAACTATGAAAACTAAATGCCTGTGAAAAGGTTAAGTGCAAGTTTTCTCTCTTTATTCAAGTCCAAACTGTTAGAAAACAGCACAAAAGTTCTGTAAATTAAATTTAACATGCTAAGTAAATTAATAATTTTATTCTTGGACTTATTAAAAGCTTACACATTTCTTTGTGTGTAAACCAACACATTTAACTACTCATCAACTTTATATATAGCCTATATATATATAAACTTGGTACATTTCAAAATGTAGCTGCAGTGCTTTCTCAACCTTTCCTCTCCTCTCAGCATAAAAACAGAGCCCTGCACACGACATGCAGGGAAAAAATAGCCATTCACATCGTGTCTTTTGCGCACTCAGGTTTGTTATTTCAAATGTATGCAAAACTGACATCTTAAAGACGCGTGTCAGATGTTTGTACACAGCAGATGCTTTCCAGATCAAGAGATCTTTAACAGACATCTTGTAGACGTAAGTGTGCTAGTGTGTGTAGTACACAAAACTGCGCGTCTGCGCCATTCATTCACACAGAGACATGCAGAATGTAAGGGAAACAGGTCAATAATTTAGCTCAAAGGGAATCATTTAAGATTTTAAAGGGAACTCCACCATTAATATGCAAGGGAATTAGGACAGAATCACTGTTTTACGGCTGATCACTGAGACGGCCTGCGAGTCAGTGAGCGAGCCGTATGACAGCAATTCTGCAATGGATATTTATATCCAAAATATAGTGAAAACACTATTAATTAGCATAGTAACAAGATCGGCAGTTTAAGACATTAACTTGTGACTGTAGTTACTATCGTGTGATAGTCATGCGGTCATCTCTTTTGACCATTATTCTTGATAACTTACCCCAAAATTTTACAATCTCCTTGGACTTGTCAATGTGTTCTTTTGTGTTAATGTTGAAAACTGTTCTGTGACAGGGGCTTAGGTTTAGGCTTGCTTCAGAAGGGCTAGGGTCTGATTTATGACATCCTGTTGTCTGGGGCCTCTGTGGAATTTTTGTGACTCCTCGTGCCTCAACTCGGTTTTGACCAAATCTTAGATTGTCTGATTCGGTCTGATATCCTACAAGAACATACAGGAATCATATTTAAAAAGCTGTTTTGCCGCTTAATATTCACAGATACTAGTCCATTACGCGATTTGATTGAAGTGTAATGACTTACTTTTGATTAATTCATCCAAACTTTGGCAAATTCCATGACGTTTTGGCAAATTCATTCGGTTTTTATAACTGATTCTGCGAGTCTGTCTGCGTTTACTACATCACTGAAATCATAGGGCCCTATGTTTTGTTGAGCAGGAAAGAGGTGAGCGTCGTACCCGGTCAGTGGCTTTAACCAGCACCTGGTCGTGACACGGAGCCGGACAGAGGTGGGCACAGCCGGGTAACGGCCGCTGGCAGGGCTGCTTACAGAGCGGACACGGGCCGGAGTGACACCGGTGCTGCTCCTGAGAACGGTGATGGCACGATGGCGGCTTCCTGCAGAGACAAGCACACTTCCTGTGACGCCATTCCACACGACTGGACAGAAGTGGACAGGAGACCTGCGTACCTGCAGAGCTGCTTACAGCGCGGCGGCCTGGTGCTCCTCTCTCTCCCGCAGAGAACAGAGATCACAGTCCATCCACAATCACACCACACCTCCACCATCTCCGGACATGGATAACAGCTGCCTGAAACACACACACACACACACACACACACACACACACACACACACACACACACAGAG